AACAGCGGTCACTGACATCTCAAACACACACAAACACACACACACACACACACACACACACACACACACACACACACACACTCTTCCTTACCTGTATATCATGTGAGTGTAATGTGACCACACTGAGCTCCACTCCTCTGTCACTACAGCTCTTCAGCATCTGCACCACCTCGCCATGTTTGGCCCATTTACAGTCCTGTCCGTCCACTGCCACTATGTAGTCTCCCTCCCTTAGTCCCGCCTCCTACGGCACAAACATTAGGAAAGATCCACATCATTTGTCAATCACTAAAAACTGCACTGTTAACAAACAAATTTGGCAACAAATTCAAAATTATTATTATTATTATTATTAAGTAAATAAACAGTGAATCAGAATGTAACTTTTGTAACTGCTTCTAATCATCTCATAGTTGTACAGAAAGTGGAAGACTGGAGCAGTACTGCTGTAACTGATGCACATAAAGCTCAGTGGAGTTTTGTCTTACCGCCGCGCAGCCTCCAGGCACCACTCCAGCCACCAGGACGGGGGAGTCTCCTCTGAGCGTGAGACCCAGTCCACCCTCTCCTCTCTGCAGGCAGATCACACGTATCGGACCCCAGCGAGCCCGTGCACAAAACACTGACAGAGGCCCCTGCAGCACAGCGAAGAGAGGTTTTTAATGCTTTCTTAATTGGCGCTACGTTTTCATTCACTGAGGCAGTAAATGTGTGTATTTCTTACAATGAATGTGTCTTACCAGTCTTTGGAAGATATCAGTAACTTGCACTGTGGAGAAGTTGGGTGGAGTGATGTCTGGTTTCTGATCGGTTAGAGCTGTCAACAGAAGACAATCACTTACTGTCAATTAATCATGGTTTCATATCTTTAATGTTTGTCTTCAAACAGATACTTACACTGTATCTCTGGAGCCTCTGCGGTTTCATCAAAGTCGTCCTCTCTGTCCAGCTCTGAGTACTTGTCCAGAGAGCGTTTGTGTGTGAGAGACAGCACGTCCTGCAGGATGTCCATCTTCCTCAGGATCTTACACAGACTGTGGACGCGCATGGCCTCCTCATGTCTGATTACCGCACGCCTCAGGTGAGCTTTACCTGCAGACATGTAATCAGACATTATTTAAACAACAAAACAAAGTCGTATTTCGGGACTAAAGATAATCTTGCTTTCGTGCACTCACCAAGTTTTCTTCTTTTTTCAGGGTCTCGTAAAACCTGGCTGAGCGGTGGCCCTGCAGGGACGTTGATGTAGAACTGGAGGAAAGCCTTCTCTGCTTCCTCATCAGCCTCCTCATCCTCAGCAGACACTACAGAACAAGACATTCCCAGTTAATGTGTAGATATAGTACACAGAGTGTGTTTTGGGTAATTTGTGATTCAGGTCTGTTTGGCGACACCTGAAGTCCTTGAACGTCCTCCTTGATTTACATTTTTCTTATGATGCGTTTGCAGTCTATCCATAATTTTGTCCCTACTCCAGTTTTATGTTGGTTTATTCTGTACATACGACATGTATCCATCCTTTTGTTTCTCTGAAATGTAGCTTTAAAAGTGTGTTTTTGTATACATCTACACCTTAAGTCTTCATGTATTTATCTCTATACTGCATTTTTTTTATGTGCAAACAAAGACCATTAAAATAGAAACAACTGAATGTGGCTGAGACATTAGTTCCTCTGCAGAGGCAACAGTGAGCCCTCATTGTCATATTAAATGAAATATTCAGAGCGCTTTGGTGCAACTTACACGTGTGGTCACAGAGTGCCACAGCAGCGTAGTAGTGTGAGAGCGCGCGGAAGTGTTCAGATTTGACCTGAACCATGGACGCCCAAGAAAACGGCACGTAGTCCTTCATCAGAGGTTGCGTCACGGTCTGCTGCACTAACAAGTAGACGTCTGACACCTACAGGAGACACACGTACAGGGTGAGAGTCACGGCATATAAACCGTAACAACACACAACCAGAGACATGTTAACTCACCCGTGCAGCCTCTTGTGCCAGGCGCAGTTGGGAAGTGAAGTGTGTGTCCTGTGTGGTGAGTGTAACACGTTCAAACACACACTCCTGCACCTGGGCAACCATCAGTCGTACCAGCATGCATAGCGACGGACTACTCATGTCCAGACTCGGAGCGTTGGAGAAATTCTCCTTAAGGTAATTAAACGCACCTAAAACACACAAATATGCAAAATATAATTATGTTGTTCTGAAATAATTAATTTAACAAACAGCCAATTGACAGAAAATGAACTAAAGTAAAACTGTTTGGCCGTCCTAACTGTGGAGCATTCAGGTTAAGTATGTGCTGTTTCAGTACCTGCGGCTCTCTGAAAGGCATCTATAGCTTTGTCTATGCCCGCCGTTGCAGAGCGGTCCTGCCGTGCTCCAATCTGTGTGTACAGAGCACCGATGTTGAACAACACACTTCCTTTCTCAAAGGCCAACGTACGCTGACACGACGGGACGCCTGTCAGAGAGTCGTACCTGAGGGACAGATGAATAAAATTAATTCATGCATCCTGTTGGTGTGTCATTAACTGTCTTATCAATCATCCACCTTTTTAACTTACTATGCAGTCCATATATTATATAAGAACATGAGGTTGAAGTGCACACTAAGCTTTAAGAGTGTTTACTTCTATACTTAGTTTTATACTCATATATACATACATATTCTTTAAAGATATTGGCACCACCAGTGTCTCAGACTTTTAGCTCAACATGTTAACTAACTGGAGACTTAATTCAGCTTAAAATCTGTTAACAGGGTCACAGACCCAGGAGGAGGGAGAGTGCAGATGATTAGTACAAGCAGGTACTGAGATGAAACATTATCCCGTTGTACCCAACAAAAGTGGCGGTAATACCAAATACCGGACTGTTGCGCCACCTGAATTACCGCAAACAAACAGGAAGTAAAGCTGGCTGCAGGCCCGGCAGAGCAGGGATGATATTTAAGCAGGCCAATCACAGAGCTGTTTGCTCAGGTAACGATAGCTCGATAGAAAGTGCTTCACAGAATACAAGTGTCTAATTAAAGTGAGGATTAACTTGTCTTTGCCTCACTTGACAAACCAGGGGTCAGTACGTGTAACGCAGGATTCAATAACCTCCAGGCTTTTACGTTAACAAGAGCTCGAGTCCTACCAGTGGAAGTGTACGCCCAGGTTCCTGTGTAGGGGGAAGAAGCGCTGGTCCAGGTAGTACATCTGGTTGTAGTACTCCATCAGTAGCTCCAGACCGGCCTGGTTACGACTGGGTGTACGCATGGCCTGGCCCAAACAAAAACCCAACAACAGCACACGTAAATATACAGACAGATAACTGTTTTTATTCTTTCTACAGTTCTCCAGTGTCTGACAAGAGGTACACATTGATTTTCTACAACCCCCTTAATGAAAAACAGATTTAATACAGAACTACACCAAGCTTTGTTTTGTATGAAGTTATATAAGTGCATTTATTAACCTGTCTGAGCTCCATAAGCTCCTTGATCTCCTTGTCGTAGAGAGAGCTGTCCTCTCCGTAGTGCTCACAGATGAAGTCCTGTGAGGGGAGACAGACAGCCACATAATAACAAAGCTGTTTGGCAGGTCAGGTACTCGGTAATATTTAAACAAACAAGTAGAGAAAAATGGTTTGTTGTTTGACCAGACTTTACCCATGTAATATATCAACTATTGGGTTGAAAACTGTTTTTTACCTTTGACACATATTTAAGTGTAAATGTTTTTTTGTAACACATTACATCTTCTTCCTAAATTTATTAATCACTTTACAGTTGCTAATCAAACAGTTATGTTGTTCCTGGCATTACATAAGTTCTTTAATTATCTGCATAATGGGTGGATAGAAAACAACGATCGCCTGAGACTCCTTTGCTTTCGACAAGGAGGATTCCTTAAACTCCGACACTGACGTCATTGGATATTTGAAGTCGGGATTAGAGATGGAGATCCTGAACCGTTTTCCTACAATATCGTCCAATAGCCATCTAGTGCACCTGTGGAGAGGCTCTTCAGCCTGTGAAGTCTTGACTCCATGTTGACTCAGAGGAGCCAAACAATTTGAGAGGCTCCTCCTCATGAGGTAAAACCACTGCTTTAGTAAACAACACGTCAATAAGCCTGACTACTCTACAATAAAGCCACAGTTTGGTGAGTGAGTGGCTCCACTGAGTTTGTTTGAGTGTGTTTGGCTCGTTCGAGGCTTCACCTGGATAGAAACCGTGAAGTCCACCTCTTTGGTTTCTTTTAATCCGAGCGGGATCATGGGAACATTAACAGCCTCGCTGTGAAAAGAAATAAAAACAGTATGAGTGTGTGTGTAATCTTTCACAGGTTACACTAATGTAACACACCAACACACAGAGTGGCAGTCAGGTCAGCACTGCCATCTGCTTGTCTTCAAACCCAGCAGGCTCACTGCTCCGTGCTTCATCCTGCTAATAAGCTAAAGCCTAGTATTAACCCTTACAGCCCCGACACCCCCCCACAGCCAGCCTCCCATTCACAATGAACATAAACACGCACACACGCCATGGGGTCTTTAATGACACTCTAATCAGGGGATTTATCCCTCCCATGACCCGCGGCTGCAGAGGGAAAAATCTCCTGGCTGTGAAGGACTGCGCACACACACACACACACACACACACACACACACACACACACACAAACACAAACACACAAACACACACACACACAATCTTGGCCTATTTATTATTTGTTCCACGAATTCCAGGTCACTCTAATTAGTCTAATGAGAATTATAATTGGTGAAAAGACTGTGTATTCACACTGTGTGTATGTGCTGTTATATAGTCTTTGTGGGGACTAATTAATGTTTTAGAAGAGGGTTAAGACTTTAAGTTAAAGTTAGGTTTCAGTTGAGGTTATGGTGAGGGGCAAGGGAATTATATCAATGTGGGTCCTCATAAGTATAGAAGTACAAGTGTGTGTGTGTGCGTGTGT